TGGTGTTGGGGCAACTCAGGGGCCACGGGAAACGAGACCGACCGAGGCAACATTTGAGGCTCTCCCGAGACGATCGGACGTGTTGGCGGGCACTATCACGCGTCGAAAACGTCGAACGGCACCAGGGGCACTGATTGCAGATCACGCACGTGAACAGCGGGTTTCGTTTTCAATGTTCACCACCCCGAGATTGAAACACATGAGCAGTAAGGGCCCCGTGGGTCTCGAAGGTCTGGCAACAGAGTGCCCCGTTCTCGTCGCGAAGCGTACACACGAATGCCGACTGTTCTTCTTCCGTCGGGGGCGCCACAGTGCGAGCAGGTCCTCGCAAGTTCTGAAAACAAACAGTCTCGCCCTCGGTCAAGATCGCTGTCTTGAGGATCGACGGGTCGATGCGAAGCCAAGCATCTCGCACCTCGTCGTCACCAAACAGTGCGATGTACGAGTAGCCGTGCTCACTCCATCGCTCGAAAAAATCCTCGGCGCCGCTGATGCCAGCGTACATCCGCAAGTCGGTTTCTACATGGTGCGCCAGAGGTGGGGCATCTCGTGTGAGGCGTCCTTGTGGGTCCAAAGCGGGAGGTCCATCATTGAGGGTTCCCCAGAGAGCAACAATAACCTGGGCGTGGGCCCTGAGGTCTCGGGCCATCTTCTGGGTCCAGGCAAAGCGTCTTGAGGCTTGTGCGCACCTAGTAGGAACCACCTTCCATCTACGTCGAAGTACTGCGTGAGGGAGGCTCTGAGGATGGCTGCCGCCCCAGTCAGTAGCCTTGCCCCTCTCCAAAACTCTTAAGCACTTGGCTACGATATTGTCCATCTGGTTGGTCTTTTTTTTTCTCAGAGAAAACGTTGGCCTCGTTTGCCGATAAACCAGCTTCAATAACGTGTCCCTGGAACGCCAGAAATTTCAGCTTGCTTGATATACGGCTTCCCCACAGACTTCCCACTTCTGCCCAACCCACTCTCATAGCTGAACACCTAAACTGCAGCTCCTCCATCGTCGCTAGGTTCTACCGTGCCCGAGGTAAGATCTTCCCCTGCTGAGTGAGCTCATTAAACCTCTTAGTCTCCTGGGACCGATGACAGCTGGGTACGATTTCGCGTTTCCCCTTATTCTGGAGAAGGCATACCAGATGCAGCTCCTCGTCCAAGGTCGCATCACTCTGTTGCGTGAGAAGATGGGCCTCACCAGCCTCGCCACTGCGTACCAGGATCTTATCGAAGATATCATCAGCGAAGACACTCGTGCCGCCGTCGATCTGGCGGGAAAATATACCGCAATGCAAGGTGATGGCCAGCTCCGCTGGTCGTGTCGAGCGCCAGGCGTGAAAAGGTCGTTGCATAATCTTAGCAAAGATAACGGGCTCCTCACTAGATCCCATCAACCCTCCACACCCGTGTCGTAAGACAAGATTCCGTGTATCCCTCCATGGCTCATCCCCCCCTTCGACAAAGCCCAGGAAGATAGCAGCATGCTCCGCTCGATGTTCAAACAGCTCTTGATCTCGGGGGAGGACGAGATCACGGATCGCTCGACGACGAGCTTCGGGCGTGGTGGAAGCGAAAGCGTTTGACATATCGTGAAGATTATTAAGATGAGCCTGCTTTCGCTTCCGTAGCCGGTGTCCTACGCAGAGCTGAACTGCAAGGGCGTCTTCGCGACGCCGTGCGGGCAGAAAGCCGTGGAAATTGGCCGGCCAGTCCTGAGTTTGTGACTGCATACCTCGTCGTATAGCGGCTCCATAGAAGCCCTTCCAGTCGGGGCAGAATACGTGTATGAGGCGTTTTCCCCCAGGACCATGCTTTCCGTTCGGCTTCAAGATCGGGCGCCCCCAGGAGAGGTGGGCCTGCTTCGGTACTCGCTTCAAAACTCGAATCCACCAGTGTAGTTGCTCCAAGTGGGTATGCGCCTGAGAGGGGGGTAGCTCGCCTACTCGCTCAGCTCCCAGTCCTAGTCTGGGCTCATCAGCACGTGAAACATAACTAGACTCGGCTGCCATCAAGAAAACTTCTGTCGGTACACTCCAGGCAGGGGCAGCTCGTCTTTTGGGGCGCTTTTGTAGGAACCTGAGAGTAGCTCGAAGATCTCTCTCGGCCCCAAACCGATGCCCCTCGTTAGTTTCGGCGGGCATCTCGGTCGCGTCGAAAAACTCTGGCCTAATCTCGAGCTCGTTCGCGTAATCGATCTCCTGGGCGTGCATACCTCCTTCGTACGGCGACCCCGCAAGGTAACTCCTCCACTCCTCCTTCGACGACTGGGGTGTGGGCACACGGTACTTCCTCTTGCGGGGACCCCCGCAGCGAGCTGCCAGCTGAAAAAAAAGACGATGCACCTCCGCAAAACGCCGAAGGCGGTGGGCCTCATGAGTGTCATGCTCGAGTCGTCGCCGTCGCTCCGCCTGTTCCCGCCGTCGCAGTTGACGAAGGGTGGTGCGGATGTCCTGCAGCTCCTGGTACTCTGGGAAGAGAATGGGCTGGTGCTTCAGGATGCCGGCGTACTCCTCGCCCTGGTCCCCCAGCCGCTCCCGAGCCGCAGCACGGAGTCGTGCCGGCTCGCGACGTCGCTCCCGAAGACGGACGGCCTCGGGGTGTTCCGTGCGCTGAGTCTGGCCGAAGAAACGTTGTGCGCACGTCCTCACTAACGTGACCCAAGTCTGCCAGTATTTGTCGATGTCCCCGTCGTCGCCGTGCTGTGTCAGCTCCGTGCACTCGGTAAACGCGGTCTCCGGGGCTTCCTGGAACTCCAGTCGGTTGGTGCCTTCCTGCAGAGCCGCCGCCAGCTTATCACGATCCCAGCGGAAAGTGTCTGGAGCATGGCTGCGGTGCTGGTAGGCCGTGAACTCGACGATTATTGGTACGTGGTCCCTCGGCATCGCGCTCGGTATCAACTGCAGGCGCCGAGCCGAACTCCATGGGATAAAGCTGCGCCTAATCTGATCATGAATCGATAGTGGCATCAAAATATGGTCAACAGTACTCGTCGATCCATCGTAGTGATAATATGTGGGCCCAGCTGCGTCATAGAAACTGCCAACATTCATCATGTTATGAGGTTGAATAAGATCTTCCCAAATCTGATCGCCAATGACGGTATGATTGCCCAGGTTGTGGCCGCCGATGTTGTCCAGGGAGCCCCTCGCCTCGATCTCGAATTGTGGATGGGACAACAGTGAGCCATTCCTCAAGCCTATGCCCGTGTTCAGGTCGCCCATCACAATCGGTGTCGATCGGGTTGGCGTAGCTTTGATCTGTTGTGTCGCCCAATGAACCAGCTCTCGAGATCCTTTCTCCAGCGCCCGTCGCTTGCGAGCACTGTCGTCCTTCAGCGGGGGTAAGTACAGCAATACAATGGTGAGGTCGAGGGAGCCTCGGACGATCCTCACGGCAAGGCCGCGGCCCTGCGCCGACGGTGGTGGGGTCGCAATCGTCCGTATCCCCCTGCGCATCTTCTGTGTCATCATCAACATACAACCAGCAGATCGATTCGAAAAAGGGGCCGATGCCCAGCCCGCTGAGAGTCCGAAGCCTCCGTGTTCGAGCTGCCACTCTTGAGCGGGGTAGCCTGGTGGTGCTCGGAGCCTGGTGCCTGCCAAGCCGATTATATCTGCATGTATTTCTTTCCATATCTGAGAAGGTCTGTCCACTTCCACCAATGAGAGAGGATTGTAAAGTGCCAATCTGAGAAAAGAACCCATGGGCCCACAAGGGCGCGTGCGTCCCGTCGCGTTCCCGCCCCGAGATCGTCTGCGGCGAGGCCACAAATAATGTGTAAAGGAAGGGTGTGCGGTACGCTCATGGATGCTGCATGATGGGAGGGTGTGTGCCAGGAGCAGCTAGGAAGGAGGAGGAAGAGGGAGGAGGAAGAGGAGGAAGAGGGAGGGGCACAGCCTCCGCGGGATCGCCCCACCGAGGCCACGGCACTTTGCATCCGTCTCGTAGTCGTCGTCGTCGTCGTCGTCGTCGTCGTCGTCGTCGTCGTCGTCGTCGTCGTCGTCGTCGTCGTCGTCGTCGTCGTCGTAGTGTTCTTCTTCTTCTTCTTCCTCCTCCTCCTCCTCCTCCTCCTCCTCTTCCTCCCACTCCTCCATCTCCTCCTCCTCCTCCTCCGCCTCCTCCTCGGGTGGTCGGGATGAGGCTCTCGGAGGCGCGGACTGGCCGCAGAAAGAGAGCGAGATGGCTCTTGGCAAAATGGGGAGTGTAAAGCGCCTTGTTAGCTTCCCGGGAGCGGGAACGCGCCTTTCACCTCCACGCTCTGCTGGCTGCCACGAGGAATGGAGGAGAACGGAAGAGGCAAAGAAGGGAGACGAGGCGAAGGAGGAGAAGAAGGATAGCAAGGGGAGGAAGAGGGAGGATGACCAGAAAGGCTGAGAGGAGGATGAGGAGAGGGAGGCAGAGACGAAGGCGAGGAGGAGAGGAGAATGGAGGATGCCCGGCAGGCCCCAGCGCCGCCATCATTGCAAGGGCCATCGGCGTGCCGCACAGCTGGGTCGGATGCCGCTGAGAGGATTCTGGCCAAACCTTCCTTGGCGGCCTGGGCCCCAGCGCCGCCTGGGAAAGCCCGGGAAAGCGCGCGAGGCAGGTCAGCCCTTGCCCCTCCTCCACTCTCCCAGTCTGTAATCCCTGCTCCCCTCCCCCCTCCACCCCCCTCCGCCTCCCCCCCTCTCACCCCCTGGCGCTCGCTTCGGGAGGCATGGGGCCCCCATGACACTGAGTCGGGCTGACAAGACGAAGCCGGGGGCTCCGATATCATGACACTCCAGCTTTTCTATGCGTCTGACCTCCAGACACGAGAGGCACACCCTCCTGGGGGCCTGCGAGGGGGACTCCCATCCCCACCCTCCCTCACTTCCTCCCTCCCTCCCTCCCTCCCTCCCTCCCCCTCCCTCCCCCCACTCCCCCCACTCCCTCCCTCACCCTCCCCATGCCCGCCCTCTCGTTTCTGTCCTTCCCTCCCCCCTCCCAACCCCTCCTCCCCCCTCCCTCCAGGCCCCCCCTTGGCGTGCCTGTTGCTGGACCAGCTTCGAGTGCGCCTCCTGGTTGTCCTTCGCCTCCTTTGCCTGCCGCGCTCGACGTTTCGACGAAGGCCGGCCCGGGCCGGCGGCCCGTAGGAGGCTGCGGATCAGCACAGCGACGAGAGAGCATTCCACAAGAATCGGCAACACGCAAGAGCCTGTTTTTGTATTATCCGCGATAACGGGCGTGATCGGGGGGGAGGGGGGTGGTTGGCCCCCACCGATCACATCACGGCGGGTTTCGGCCTCCTGGAGCCTGTTTCGAGCCCCCCGTGCCCTCGGGAGGAGAAAGGTAAGAAAAAGGGAGAGGGAGCAGAGGAGGAAGAGGGGATTGAGGAGGAAAGGAAGGAGCAGCAGCAGAAGCACGAGCAGGAGGAACAGGGAGGGCGGGCGAGGAAGAGGAGAGACGATCTGCAGCCAAAGGTCACCCATTGCCCAGGGTCGCTCTTGAAGAGCGGCCCTGGGCAAGGGTGACCCTCCGTGCGCGGCTTTGGGGGACCGCGGGGAGGGCGCGCAGGCCAGTGCTGGGGGGGAGGCCTGTGAGCCCGCACCAGAGGTGCGCCCCAGCGGAAAGTCACTCCTGCGGATAGCCGCAAGAAGTCGGGCCGCCATCTGGCGAATCCCGCCAGCCCTCGAGGCTCAGGCGTACCACGAACTTGCGTCTTCTCTCTGCTAAAATCCATCCTTCCCCTGTTCGGGGGAGGGACTGACCCCTCCCCATGCCCCCTTCTGGGCCTGGAAGGGGGGGGCGATGTGTCAGAAGGTGCTTTTTGGTCCAAGATGGCGCCAAGAGGGCCTTCGCGAGTCCAAGATGGTCTTCAAGATGGGTCAAGGTACCTCAAGGTGGCTGAAGATAGCCTCCGACGCACATCCAAGACGGCCCTAGACAGGCCCAAGAGGGACCCCAGAGGGCCCTAAGAGGGCCCCAAGAGCGCTCCAACAGCGGCCCAAGAGGCCATCCCAGCAGCCATTTTTGAGCCGCCGATGGGGCGGACCCGAACCGATAAACACCCCTCTGCATGAGCCATGGGGCTCACGAGACCTCTCAGACCACTCCAATCAGCCCCAAGGGGGCCTCAAGAGCTCCAAAACGAGCCCCCAGAGGGCCCCGAGAGTGCCCCAGAGGCCCCACGGGGACCCCAAGAGAGCCCCTAAGATGGCCTGAGCCGTCCTTCCAGAACCTCTCACAACAACACATCTCCAAAGCCCGACTTCTCATCCTCCTTATCATCGTCCGTTCCTTCCCTCCTCCTTTCCTGCCTGCTCCCTCCTCCTCCTCCTCCTCCTCCTCCTCATAATCATCAGCAGCATCAGCCCCAGCATGAACATCATCATCGGCATCATCAACATCATCATCACCACCATCGCCATCGTCGTCATCATCATCACCATCATCATCAGCAGCATCAGCATCATCGTCACCATCGTGCGAATCTTCATCGTCATCGCCGTCATCGTCAACATCACGACCATGATCACCACCAGCATCACCAGCATCATCATGCTCATCATTAGCATAATCATCCTCATCAGCATCACCATCATCACCATAACCAACAGCATCATCATCACCATCACCATCACCACCACCATCATCATCACCACCATCACCATCAACGCCATCATCACCATCAACACAATCAACATCATCATCTCCATCATCATTACCAACATCGTCATCAGTACCATCATAATAAACATCATCATCATCATCACCATAACAAACATCATCATCATCAGCATCACCATCAGCATCATCAGCATCATCATGACCATCATCATCATCAGCATCATCATCACCATTAGCATCATCACCATCACCAGCACCATCACCATCACCATCACCATCACGAACGGCATCGACATCCGCATCAACACCATGAACATCATCATCACCACCATCGTCATCGCACCGCTCATCATCATCATCAGCATCATCACCATCATCATCAACACAATCGCAATCGTCATCATCATCGTCACCATCGTCATCGCCATCGGCATCACCATCATCATCACGATCACCACCATCATCATCAGCACCATCACCATCAGCATCAGCATGCTCATCCTCATCATTATCATCCTCATCATCCTCATCAGCATTACCATGATCACCGTAATCAACATTACCATCATCACCACCATCACCACCACTATCATCATCGTCACCACCATCATCATCAGCATCACCCTCATCATCACCATCAGCATCATCATCAGGATCATCAGCAACATCACCAGGCCAACCATCACCATCAGCATCGACATCACAATCATCATCCCCACCATCATCATCAACCTCATCATCACCATCACCAGCACCATTACCATCACCATCGCCATCATCATCACCACCATCACCATCACCATCACCGTAATCACCATCATCATCAGCAACAACATCATCATCATCATCATCATCATCACCAGTATCAATACCATCATCATGCCGCATTCCTCCTACTTATGTTTTACCCTCCGCCTCCTCCTCATTACCATTACCATCACCATCACCACCACCATCGCCATCATCGCCAGCACCACCGTCATCACCATCATCACCGCCGTCATCATCATCACCATCATCACCATCACCACCGTCATCATCATCGCCATCATCAGTATCAGCACCATCATCATGACTGTCATCATTATTGCCATCACCCTCATCATCACCATTACCGTCATCATCACCATCAGCAGCATAATCAACATCATCAGTATCAGTAGCATCATCACCATCAACATCACCAGCAGCAGCAGCAGCAACAGTATCATCGCCATCACCATCAGCATCACCCGCACCCGCATCATCAGCATCATGCCACATTCTTCCTCCTCCTCCTGTTCTTCCAGCCTACTCCTCCTCCTCCTCCTCCTCTTTCTCCTGTTCGTCTCTCCTTGTCGTCCTCCGTTTCCATCTCCACCTCCTCTTCCTCCTACTGGTCCTCCTACCCCCTAAGATGGTCCCAGGAGGTCTAGCATGGCTCAAGATAGCCTCCGACGCAAGATGAACCAGGATAGCTGAGCATGGCTCAGGGTCGCCTCCAACTGCCTCTAGCCGAACATGGCTAAACATTGCCTCCAAGAGGCCTCCAGAAAGCCTCCGATCGTGTCTGGATGGGCTGGTGGGTATACTTTTCGTCCGCGGGCGCACGAAAACGAATCGAATGCCCAGCATGCTAAGGTGGGCCGCACTCCGCGCCTAAGTGAAAAAAACAAAGAGGCGAGCGGCACCCAGCGGGCGGAAAAGGAAGTACAGCAATACCGCCCGGCCCGCGAAGCTGCCGCAAGAAGAGCGTGCCGAAGACGAAGACCACGAAGACCAAGGGCGGAACCACCCTTGCCGAGCGAGAAGAACTTGAAGCAGCCTCGAGAGCACCAGGCGGGGTGGTGGACGCAGCCAAAATCGCGCAGCAGAGCCGAAACGCCGCGGAAAAGGTGGCACACCTTGCTTTACGGGTAGAAATTCACCTTGCGAGAGCACAAGAGTGGGGACGCAGCCAAAATGGCGCGGGAAAAGGCCCCTCGGCGGCCAAGGTGTGCGGGTAGCGGTGCCGCTCGGCCATGGGCACCCCAAGCCTGTGAAGGTCGGGGAAGACGCGGTCGACGCAACCCCAAGGTAGACAGGAAACTGTCGTACGTGTAGGACCGCAGGCCACATCTGACCAGCGTCGGCAAGTCATCCGAGTAGACGCGAGCGGCGCATACCCGAGGGTGGGGGACAAAGACAAACCTTGTCGTACGGGTAGGACAACAGGTCAACCGTCACGACCAGCGCCGTGCACCCCGCGCGCACGAAACTGGAAACTGAAGATGACCGGCACGAGAGGACCGTGCAAGTGAGCGCCGCCCATCAGGTATCCCGAAGGTGGAGCGGCGGGTGGCCATGCGGAAGCCAGCGCCCGCAAGTGCATGCCAGGGGACCGTGGCGCCTTGGGTGAAGGGGGCCGCTGGCACGGATGATCCAACCGACATGAAGGCTTGCGGCCATCACGTGGTGGGGCGGACGGAAACAAAGCCCCAAGGGAGCTGGTGCCGCACCAGCCGGACCATATCCATAGGAGATTCATACGAGGCAGCTGATCGCTGCAAACACTCGGGAAGCCTCGGCAGATGAATACCCAAGGTGACTAGGAAGCTAACAACTTCGACGGAATGGATGACCTCGGCAGAGGTATACCCAAGATAGAGCTGGCAGCTGATCGCTGAAGAAACACAGTGGACCTCGGTAGAGGTATACCCAAGGTAAAGCCCCGTCGCCGCGGGCGAACATGGAGGATGTGACGGCAGGAGGACCCCAGGGAGGAGGAGAAAGGGGAGGGGAAGGCAGCTGATCGCTGCAAACACTGGAATAGAAGCCCACCCAATGCGGGGTGCGAAGAGAAGGTGCGGTGGTAATGGTGGAAAAAGCTACAAACGGTGTCTCTTGTCGGTAGCAAGTGCGTCCCAGCCGTGGCTGCGCTTGCCCTGCTTGCCACTTTGTACCACGGAGGCATCGCGGTCTAGCCCTTTTGCCTGGGCGCCCAGCGTTGCTCCAGTCGTCCGTCGCCTAGTCCTGGCGCGTGCGGTCGAAATTGGTGTACAATCTGTGCTGGTGGCTGAGAGAATGGGCGTCGTAGCCGTTCTGTCCCCAGGCAGCCAGGAATTCGTCGCAAATGGCTTGGGATTGAATGTGTGGTTCCTTTGGGACGAGACCGGGACGAGTTGGTGTGCAGTCGGTCCAACTGTGCCAGAACTTGAGTTGAATGTGGCACCGAACTCGGATTGCATCCTTCTGATGAAGTCAGAGCTGCTTTCGGCCGCACCTTGTGCCTCCACCAGGTGCGTGGCCGTCTTATACATCTGGTTGCCGTCGTGGGTGCGGCAGTCGGGTGGCGTGAGGGGGTTGGCGGCCTCATCGCGCCAGACTCCTCGTACCCACATGCCAGCAGCTTGGCTGCTAGGGACCGTGCGTGCTGCGTGGCCCTGTCCCTGGGGCCCATAGT